TCATATCAAACAATTTGCAATGAAGTATTTCTATCCAGGGCTATTTATTTCATCTCGCAGCATTATAACACAGGTTTTATTCACAGACCACAGTTCAACCTTCTAAAACCAATCAAACTAATTCCTTGGTTAAAATTCTGTGTATGTAGCTCCGCCAGAGGTTTAATTTAATGATGGTTACCAATAAAAGCTCATGTTTAAGCTGTTGCATGTTTTTTTTTTCCTCTCTGGTCAACTCTGGCCATTTCAACTAATTTGAACCAAGTTTTTTTTTTAATTAGGGGGGCCTACATTTTAACTGCCAAGACCTCTCTAGATTGTATACGTTTACAACCAGAGGTATCGATCGAGAGCTCGGTTCTGTCGATCTTGAACCCTTTTAAAGATGACGGCAAAAGATGCTGTACATTGGAGTAGCGGTGATATCATTATGAGCGACGGGATGAGTCATCCCGAGACGGTCTAGACAGGAAACCCCTGCTGAAAAAGGGTACTTGCTACCATGCGGGTGATGACACTCCTTAGAGCAGCTGGAGAGGAGACTAGTCTGCTGGAATGGGAGACTAGCCATTGCACTTTTCCTACATCACATGGGTACGACATAATACAATTTCCCTCGTCAAGCATAAAACACAAATGCATGTGCCAAACAGTTACTATAATTATCCTTAATAAGCATTAGACATTCTACAATAAAGAAATTACGTGTACATGTACTACAACGGGACACGCATTTATCATACAGATAATATCTCAAAAATGAATGAATGCACCGTCACAATAAAAAAAAAATCATATCTGTCCCACATCAGATCTAGTCTGAAAAAGCTACTTAATGTTATAAGGACAGACAATCTCGATCAAGAGTGGCAAGTTTATTCCATTTAAAATCACTAGCACGTATGAACATGTTGTCATAGTGCGAACGAGAGGCCCCGCGCCGTGTGCCTGGCAAAATCTCACTGAAAAGGTAAGTGGGGCAATATATTTGCTATAATCATACTCACGAACTGCGTGACATTACATCCAAACGATGATTCAGACAACTGTAAATACCCCCCCCCAAAAAAAAACGTTTTTATATAGAAACGAGGAAAAAACTTAACCGAGAACACATGAACTTACAAAAGCTGAATACTTCAACTAGGAGTTGATTTCTCACTTGTTCGGACAATTACAATTATTTCAAGTTTTAAATAGTCGAAGGAAGAGTTTTTTCACAATAACGTACTAATCAATACGGGATATCGACAATTGAGGCAAAAGACGAATATCAGTGCCAAACAGCACAAAGAATTTGTCAACAGTGATATATCTATATCTATATGCAAATCTAGAGTAAAGAAGCGACACTGCCTGTCGTTTTACTTCAGGAAATATTATACCTCCATCATCCTTCGACATTAAACCACACCTATACTTCAATTTCGCACCGTTGTATAGAGCTGGTTTTCGAGGGTTAGAAGCTTGGTGAGTGAAAACATTTAGGTTACTTCACTTACGCCAAACATCAAGTAAAGTGTTCCATGGGCTTCCCTCTTTTTTTCGGATATGAATTGGAGTTTTCATTGCGATATGCAGACATGAAATTTACCATATGGATCCGGAAATCAAGCGACCACGGCTTAATGCAGAGGCATCGCTTTATGTTTCAAAAGAGATGCAATTTCATTATGACACCAATTTCCACTTCTCAAAACGGTCACATTTCAATGCAAGGCGCCCAATAAAGAGCGAATTGTAAATCATCAAGGTTCTGCCGGAATTTTTTATGTTGTCCCAGAATTTCTGTCTGACTGAGCAAGATAAACTATGCTGGCGGAACAACTCCAGTAAGTGTGCCAGTCTCAATTTGATGAAACGTCTTTGAATCTTTTTATTTCCTCAAAGAAAAAAAACTACCGTTCTGGACAAATATTCTCGAGAGACGAGGTTTCAACTTGCACTATTTTCCCACGGCGCACGAATACGTTTAGCGCGTGTACCAAGTGTAGGCCTATGTATAAACGACGCCTTGAGCAAACTATGCTCCAACTCGACAGGATTACCACATGAATACCTAACATTGCCCACAGGCCAGGTCATTATCAGAGGGAATCCCCGTGCCCGTCCCTGATGTCAAACCGCACAATAGACACAACAGCTGGAGCGGTCCACCATGCTAATAATAACCAGTCCTAACCATTTATAATGATGCGCGCTAAGCAGGCCGATTACTTGCTACAACTTTACAAGATATAGCTAGGATAACGTGCCCGCAGGTGGACTGGCTGGGGACACACAGGAGAACACTGGATGATATAAAGTTATCCTAAAGCAAACTTGATACTTGTCTTAGTATTATGGGTGGAAGAAATGGTTTCGTCTTGCAAGGGCAAATTCTGTTTTGCACTTTTCCTTTTTTACAAAGAGTAACATAATCATGACAATTCTGGAGTATTTCAAGGAACCTCAACTTGCCAGAACAAACTAGAGAAACAGACAAGGCTGGATTATGGAGAAGTAAGGCTCTCTTTATATGTTAATGTACTGATAGATTTACTAGCACGTGAACATTGGTCGAATATTAAAGCCTCGGTGAAAGTTTTCTTGGGTTCATGTACTTATAGGCCTAATAGCCTAGGGGATGTCTTCTGTGAAGCTACAGATTTTCATTTGGTAAAATTCGGTCGAGGCTAACCTTTTAGAATGAGGGTGGAGTCTAAGTAACTTTCGGGCAACTTACAAAATGCACAACTGTTTGAAGGATAAAATTTTTACAGGCTGGTGTTGCGAAGTGTGCAGTGTTCCACTTTGCCCAATGTCATGCATTGAACGCTGCGGAGCAACGCCCGTCATCTTTGAAACATTTGGGTCAATCCTGATTGGTTAAACTGAGGCTGCATACGAATCTATTGTCTAGAGCTTGGTCTCGGTCGTCGCTCCATAGACGTAGCCATAGCTCTGAAAGCCCGTTTCGGACACTGCCTATGTACAATGCTATGTTAGACTGGTACCCGTCCCAATAAATTCTGAAAGACAATCCAGGGACAGATGGGCACAGTCCACTAATTCAAGCCCCGTTGAAAACAGTGTAAAATCAGCACTGTTCAGGGCCCNAAATCACCCTCCAAAAAGTTATTTTTCCGAAGTCTGACTGCAGCCGTTTTTCAAGTGGCAACCGTCAACTTTCTCGACCACTTAGGACCATTTTTCAACCGTAGTGTTTAGCCCTTCTGCTCTCATTTGAAAGCTCAAAGACCCAAGGAGTTGATCCCGGCAATGATTTACACAATCTCACCATTTGGGGGGCCAAACAATCTCCTTTTTCAAAAGATACTGTGGGGGGGGGGGACTTTTAATGCTAATGAGCTGGCCAGAAATTCTCACTTCTATTAGTGTCTGCACCCAGATTCTGAGAACCAGTCCACACACCGCAGCAACTTCGATCCTAGGGGTTTCAACCGACTTATGTACGGGGTCGCTTTCTTCTGATGAATGACACTGGCTCAGACAACTGTCATTCAGCTGTAGTGGCAAGGCAAAATTAACACGCTTCCTTTCATTATGTTGCAGATTGAATTTCACTTGGAACTCAAAGCACCATATGGAACACCAATTTATTACACAGTATATGACTGTGATCAACCAAAACAAATTACTAGGAAGAGAGCAGCTAGGATGATGGCTGAAGAAAAAAGTCCAGCAAAGTTGGCTCCATTTCAAGAAGCACGACCCAAGCAGTGCAAAGACTTTTCGTTTGGTGGAAATCATGAAGTAACCTGGGCCTGGGTGATGGATTATTTAGTCCACTGAAACACATCTGGGCAGGCTGTCTTATATGCTTGAGAGAAAATTATGAGCAGAGTTTGCTAACCATTTTGCTTACCATCCATGTTTTTCTCTCGTCATTTCCATGAGCGTCCAAGATAACGCTTTTGTGGACCCTTCTGATCCCTACAGCATATAAAGTCAAACCAACAAAGTAAATAAAGTGATTTCTGTTTTCAATTGTATCCTCATTTAAAAAGATTGTATGCTCTTGAAAATGCTGGAAAAAATCGTCATCGTCATCAATTCAAGTGCAACTGACAGAGAACCTTTGTTAAAGGCGGATGCAAAAGGAGAGGGGCGATTTTTAATGGGAAGTTGTGAAATTATGGCTTCCTAAAAGCGGAGGCTAAATTCTGAGATTTTTTGTTAGAAAGGGAAGTAATAAATCTCCCATTTTTTTTCTTTCCAAAAGCTGCTGGGGAAGGACATAGCCCCACTGGCTCCCCAACTAGATCCACCAGTGCCTTTGGAGTATTCAGGAGGGGGTTAACCGAAGTTATTGATCATATACACGTACATGTATGCTCCAATCAGGCATTCTGGAGGCTATATTGATGAAGGCATCCATTTTGCCCCTCATTATTACACCATTTTAACAGTATACTGCGCATGCAGCTTTGGCTGTACGTTCATTATTTTGCAATGAGCAGATGAGAGCCTGCTTACCTTGTGCTGGGCTTACCTTCCGTGTTAATTTTACCAGTACTGCATTGCCACTAGTCTCTCACTCAAGCACATGAGAAGTGTGAGCAAACAAGTTGGGTTTTAGATGGAGGGAGCAGTGCCATTACTACAGCAGGGGGGTGTGCCCCCACACACAATGGAAATCTTTGAACAATGTTTGTTGTAATACAGGACTGCTTAGTTTCTTGTGGTGCTCCCTTGAAAAAAATGTTTTCAAATGTTTTCACCCCCCTCCCGGGGTGCCCCACCTGGAAATTGAGTCCTAGTTGTGGTATGGGGGCGGAAGAGTGGAGAATGGTTCAGGAGGTGACTAGTCTGCCTTTACTACATTTATTAAAGAAAACAGAAATTCATTTTGTCTGGCGACTCTTTACAATCTTCCAGTTTACTTTGCAAGATCAGTCACCAACAAATTTTTAGTGTGCGGTGAAGTGTAACATAAAGTAACAGTGGGTAACTTCAAAAGGCACACAAATAAATCAGCAATGAGACACACAAAGTTGTTGAATATCTGATTGTATTTACAGTTAACAGAACTCAGCACAATGGAACAGAGACCACTTAAATGTGGTTGAGCACATGGCATTATCTTACGTCAACCTGCATGAATAACTCTGCCTGCTTGCTCGCAGCAAGGGGAAGAACCTCAACCTGTCATCAAACAGTGACATCATCAGAACCGAGCTCAAAAAACAGCAACACTTTGCCACTGGGTACAAACAAGTTCCAAACTTCCGTGCACCTCAACAGAAATACATCTTCACTCTTGGCAAGATTAGGGAAAGGTCAACATAAAACTGACAGATTTTTTGCTAGTAAAGCCTTAAAGGTACATTGGAGGTTACACATTTGTAAAATCCCCAAAATCGGACAACCCTATAATCCCGGAATATCTTACTTGAAAGAAAGTACATAACAGCCTCAGTCAGTCTGTAAAATATTCCTGCCCAGAATGCTGTAGATTTTGAGAAAATAGAATTGCTTTTCCTTTTTTTTCATGATGGACAGCCGACCATAATTTAATGGTTCATATTTCATTTCACACACCACATTCGTTAACATCTACAAGTATACATGTATAGAGAAACTCATAGATGCTAGGTAGTGTTAAGGAGGGGATGGAAGGCACTCACATTGATCGAACTGTTCAAGATGTGTTCTGTAGGTCGGCACATGCTACGTGCCCTGTTGGAATCCCAACTGGTGAACAACAAATACAGGATCAAGTGGGTTTTCTCACAATGACATTGAGGCAGCTTCCACCTACACAAGAAACTAACATTTTCCTTTCCCGCCAAAGGACGCTCCCTGATGACACTTGTTTTCAAGGATCATCCCCAATAAAACAATCACCCAAGGCTCATACTTGGACAGTGGAAAAAACACACTGTAGCTCTCTAGCTTGAGTAAAGACATGTTGAAGTGATACTTCCCTGGTATCCATCATGTACTGCGTACGTGAACTACAGACAAGGGACCAGTGAACTTTCACCTCAACGTACAGGAGCCATAACTGCCGAATCTCTGGCTGTGTCCCAAACAGGCTTCCAGAGCTACAGCGGTCTAATGTCTTGGTGTCTCAACATATTCCCATGGGGCAAAGTCCTAGACCTAGCTCTAGACAACAGATTCAGACGCAGCACTGAATACTTTCGAGTTCCCTCCCCTCTTCCAGTTACTGTAAATATTTTTTCCTCCACTAACAGCCAACAGAAACAGCCAACATACACTGTTAATCTTTAACTTTCATTTTATTTATTCTTTTTTTGGGGTAATCTAATCAAGCGGAAGTTTACCCAATACCCAGAATTTTCTCTCCATTTTTAAAAATTAACTCTGCTTTGCATCTGTATGCAGCATGATAACAGTATTTGAATACAATATCAGGCCTATTTAACTTCATGACAGAACAACATATTGACTTTAACAAAATTCAGGACCAAATTTGGTCTCAACAAAAACTAGCATATAATACAAACTTACATATATATATACACAGTTCTCTAAGAAAACTCGCTCAAGGTGTTACTTCAAAACCGTGGACGGATTAAGAGCAGTTTTATGAATTTATACAAATTTCTAAAAGATAAACACAAAAGAACAAACATTCTTTTGGCTGCTTCAAAGCAACTTTCATAACTGGTTTCAAACTGAGCAATTCCTTCAAGCTAACATACGCACCAATAGGCAAGTTGATCTCTGCTGCATTGTTGGGACGGATTTAGCTGAAACTGATTGGGTCCAGTACAGTACCGTTCAACATAGCCAAAGCTTACCCAAGTCTCCAACACAAACCTGTGGAGTAACAACAAGACAAGGATGTTTGCAGTTAGAATTCATGCAGGCAGTCAAGACATTGTCATCTGACATTTGGAGTCACTGACAAAAGCTGGCTTAAGACCGGCCGAGACAATGGAGCCTGTCTCTTTGCATTGTTTTGTCTCCTCTCGTCAACTGCTGGCCGTCCCTCCATCTTCAGACCTTCTTATGTTTGGTCCATATGGAAAAGACTTCAAGCTTAGGAAGTTTACATTACAGCATTTGACATTTCTGCTGCAAAACACTGGCTTCTACCAGCCTGGAATCTCCAGAGACAGGAACATTAAAAGAACAGGCAGAGCAGACGATGAAGATGAATCAAAGGTCTGAGAGGGGGCAGGGTGGTTCCTCTTAGGAGTATCAATCTAACCGTTCAAGCACGGCTACTGTGAGAGGGAGAAAGATGGAAAAAAAAATTGAAAAAGAAAACAGAAAGGGAAAACATAATAGAAAAGACAAAGAGGAAAGGCGAAGAGAATCATCACTTTGCCAATCCCTCTCCACTTTTAATGATTTCTCAGTTTGTTGCTGATTAGGGCTTTGTCCCCCCTCAGAAAAATCCTGGCTATGCCCGTGACCTTGGCCATCACACCCAGTACTTAAAAAAAAAGAAATGGCAGCCCTTTGAATTTCAGTTGAACTGAGTGAGGTACGTGCACATGTACCTAATGACCAGAATCCAGTGAGTACAGTGTATTCAAATTGCTCAGTGAAGGTTCTTTCAATTTTTTCCTGATGAAATTTGATGTGGATCAGCGTGGGGCCACACTAAGCAAATGTGTCATCAACTGAAATATCAGTTTGAGAGTATAAATGGCGGATGAGTCATGTGCCACAAAACACCTGGATGCAAACTCCTCGGGAATGAACATTCCAGAAATAGTCAGCGCCCTGTCTGCTGATTATGCCCACTCAATCAAAAACATACATGTACATCAGATGCACGTCACATAACTAGATGTGCCATTTCAGTTCAGTTTGTCTTTTTCATTTCTAGAGAGGTCTAGGAAGTTTTTAGAAAGTGGCACAAACTATTTTCTGAAAGATCTCTTTCAAGGGAGAAAATTAAATGAAAGATTACAGGGGACATAAGAAGGGTTGTGAAAGGAAACGTATGGCCAGGAATGCACAAGTAAATATTTACCCTCCCCTCAATTGCTTGAAGACTAGGGAACAGTAAAGAAACAGCTTTGAGCATGCCTGAACTACAGTACTCATTTTTTTTAACAATGAGACATTTTAACCAAATGGGGGAGTTTGAGACGCCTGGTGGTGGCAGACACAACGGTCTATTTTGGTTGATGTGGGCATACGTGTGCAGTTCTAGGCATGCGCGTTAGTTCTAAGTATGCCCACAACCATCGAAAAGTCCAACTGGACACAATCTCTGCCTGCTTGTGTGGAATGCTAGCTGTCAAGCAGATGCAATGTCCTGGGTTCATGATTTCTGCATGTTTAGGGTGGCCAAGAACACCTAGTTCATCTCCGAACAGGTCGACTGCTGATGGTACAGTTGGCTTTTGGGAATGTATATGGGTGGTATGATTCTGTGGCCTCTTTCTCAACATCGTTAATTTTGGCCTTGAAAGTCTCAAGTCTCTGCACTTAAAAACCAACACTTCCCGGGACCAAATGATGAATAATTTATCTAGCACGCTCACTGCTAGCTTCAGGCCTTTGGAATATAAGATGCCTAGATGTCCTTTACACAGTTACCAAGGCTACTGGATAATAAATTTTAAAAAAATAGCCAACTTTTCCTCTTTTAATTAATGACAAGGAAGCATGACAGATATTTTTTGATTTGCAAGTTTAACTGGTGGTGTGTACCCAGCACAGTCAGCGACTCAGCGATAACCATGGGAAGGCTCCAGCCTTCCCCAGCTGTTGGCTTGATAAGCCACTGTAAGCCTCCCAACTCCATCATAAACAAGAGAATTACGCTCAAAGAACCACGCTAAAGTGTTGATTTGAAAAGATTGTATGCTACCAAGCTGACGTGTGACTTAATAAGAATACGTCAGTTCTAAAAAAGAAATGAAAAACACAAAATAAAGGAATATAAAAGGCACAAATAAGAAGCTTATGAGCTCAGGAGATTGTGTTTTTATTGCAGGGAAAAACATAAGTGTACTTCACGGGAGCCCTCTGTGTGGTGGGTATTTCTTAAGTGAGGTCATCACAGATGTCAGGGTATTCAAGTCTATCAAACCTGTTACCATGTGCCCAATCACTGCTACATTTTCCTTTGGTGGATCAAGCCATTAATAATTTTCATTGGACTTGGCCACCCATGGACCTTGCAAGTCATTGTCCCGTGTCAACCTCACATGTACCTAGTGTGGACCTATGAACAAAAGAGGTCGACATAAGGCAGGAGTGTGAATATCCGTGTGTGGACCAAGCCGTATCCAACACGGTTGCTCCTTTCTTAAAAACAGTTTCAGAGGTATTTGGGGATAACGGTTATATGTAACAAGAAAAAGAGGAATAGTCAAGGAAATCTTTAAACAAAATCCAACTTCAAAGAGTGTTCAGAATAACTGGATTTCTTAACTACGTGTACACAAAAACAAAGGAATGTTCCCACTTGGAAGGTACATGTACATGTAACTAATAAACATGACTTTATCTTTTTCGGTAAATGGTCATCTCGCCCGGTTTCAGCAGATGAGAAGTGGGGTCCTTCTGTCATCAAAACTCACTTCCCAAAACCATTCCAATCTGTGGTTTTTTGTTCTGTTCGGTTTTTGTCATATTGTGTGTATTCTGCACTGTTTTGATTCATCTATTAGTTAACAAGTCAAGGCAGAGGGGGAAAAAAAGTCACGTCTGGGAATTTTCAAAGGGAGAACAGGCCTCTTTTTAAATACGGCCAAATTTTTTTCCAAGTTGGTGGACAGATTTTTACAAGGTTTGTCCTGATACTTGAATTTCTAAAGGAGTTTTCAGCCTGTCCTAACAGACTTTAAACTTGCACCTTGTTTTTGTATTTGCTTAATATTTTGTAATAAACAAATTAAACATCAAAATACCTTGCAAATTTAACCAAAACAAAACAAAACAAAAAGGGGAGGGAGCTGGAGTAAATGGAAACGTGTGAAGAGAAACTGCTTAATTTTTTTATCTGGCTTATAGGGATATGTGATATGTACACTTGTAGAAGACTGTGGACCATACTTTAAAGAGCCTATCCAAGAGAGGCATCTGCAGTAGCTACAAGTGAAGAACAAGGCCCTTGCCGCTCACACTGCTTTGATGAAGTAATTAGCCACTGCAAACGTGGTGTACGTACGTGCACTTAAATATGTATTTACCCCTGCTGCTTTTACAGGTTAGCTGTTGAACTTGTACAGTACAGGTGCATGATTGATTGGTAAACCGGAAGGTAGAAATTGATGGATGCTGATATGAAATACAGGGAATTCTTTGGCGGCATATTTGACGGGAATGTATTGATTGAGATGGTCAATTTTCACTGTATACACAATGCACGGATCAGACACATGAGAAGACACATTTCATTTACAGGTTATAAATTTCACCATCCAATTTATCAAACAGACATATATGAATATCAGGCACCAACAAATATTACGGTACTACATGTACATATGTACATGTATATACTGCCCTCATGACTCAAACTAACACTGTGTTAATAATCACCCCAAGGGCCAAACACTCTGCTTGCTTCACTTTCTAACGTTACCGCTGCCAGTCCACAGCAAGCATCATGTACAACTACATCTACATGTATATGTACATGGAAGAACTAAGCCACATGCAGCTTATATACCAAGTGTCCATGCTGGTTTTTTCGCTGGTGACTTTTTTGCTAGTTCCAGAAATGATTTTTTTTTTTTACTGCAAGCAGAGCATAAAATTGCAGCTGCTACATGCGGCTGAACAAAATGTTCACAGGAAATATTAAGGTACGTGTAAAAGTCCCAGAAGCTAAATCCTTTGGATAATTTGTACTGTTTTCACCACTTATGACATTCAAATTGTGTGAACATGTTCTTATGTGACCTTGGTATATAATTGTCTGATTAAAAGCTGGTTATACCCCCTTTTTTTCATTGTTTTATGCCCTAACGAGCACTCCAGTCTCTAGGCATGGGCACATGTTGGCATAAATTTGCATGCTGTGTCACTGCACATTTAACTTTGAGCCCGCTTGCCAACAAGACTACATATGGTGCCTCACCAGCAAGTTGCGTTTTGCTGGAAGGAATCCTTTCGTTACCATGCCTAAACAGCACAGCTGAACTGGTAACAGACAATGGAACCATCACATCCAGGGCATCCCTGAACAGCAATCCACAGGTGTCCGCGCTCTGATTGGTGGACCCAGCTTCCATGGCAACAATCGATAATTTGCTTCCGCGAGGCTCAATAGTCCACCAGCACCACACATTCCATTGTGTTTTTTTCTCTCATATCACATCCAATGCAAGGCCACACTTAGTAGGCAAAGTGTTCTTCAAATAGCTTTTTTTTGTGTGTGTTTTATTTGGCATGGTATCAGCAGTAATAAATAACTGAATATACGATACCAACATCTCAATTTTCTACAGTATAAACAGTAAGAATTTTGGGGGAAATGCATATGTTACTGACGGGCCTAGTCTTACCAAATATCGAAAATTCTTTCAGAAACGCAGAAAGCGTTTTGCTTTTTAACGGCGTACAAGATCAATATTTCCTCTTTAAAATGATGTGCCATGTAAATCTGCATGACTTACATGCAACTGTAGCTTCAATATACTACTATGAACAAGTAACGTTCACGTACACTGTCGTGCTCGTGTACAGAAAGTGATCAATCTGAAATAAAAACCAAACCTATGTGATACCAAAAAGGTTTTAAAAAGTGCCCACAAAGTCTGTTCGTTTTTGTGGGGTTTCCAGCATCTAAAGCATACCCCCCCCCCAAAAAAGGTACATGTACATGTTTATGTAGCTTCACTGATGAGCAGGCATGTACCGGTACTCTGTATGCAAAGTGCACTGGTATCCATAGCAGTTGAAATCCTGCTTCGGTCAATATGTGACTGGCTCTAGATTCAGGTTATGAGTTTTGATATGGCTGGATTCTGTACATCAAAAGCTACAGTTTGATATATGAATGAACTCTGTAGTGCACTGCAATCTGGAGATACACAGACATTTGTATATCCACATTTACGAATTCAATAAAAGAACTTCTCGAGAAAAAGTGTAGCACTTGGAAACACTATGCTATACAGGATTTCTTTCTGAATGATCAATTTTTTATCTTTATTCATCAGTATCCATGGTTGTAGTCACAAAGTCTGAAAATATAACTATTATAGGAGCTATTAAACATGTTCCAGGAAAAACACAAAATCACATTCTTGAAGAAATTTTGCTCTCTCCAAATAGAAAGGCCATACCATACATGTTTTGGCATTGCGAGGAGGCCAAAGCTAGATCTGCTCTATCCATGCATACATTGTGAAGAAGCATGCAGAGAGGTGCCCACATTTCACTTTTGTCTTTGGTGACCTCGTTTGTTGTGAGCAATCAGTAATTTTTTTTTGGGGGGGGAGATCCAATTTGAAGCCACAAATGGCTCTTCCGTAGCCTTAAATCCAGCAGACACAGCATTTGCTTTGTTCTGTACATCTGTGGATATTGTGGAGAAAGAAAGTCTTACATGTAATGCCACTGGGAAAACCTTTCCAGTAGAGCGTGCAGCAAACACGTGCAGGAAAACACATATTGCTCATTAATTTCTGATACATGTGTGTAGAAAAACCTGTAGCATTTCCGTGCGAGAGGAATTCACCAGCACTTGAGCATATGGCAGAAATGGCTCTGTAGCCTGCTTCAAACACAGCATTTGGCATTTGTTTGTTAACCATCTTGCATTTTGTGCACATTTCATTTCAACGCAGCGATATTCAAATCCACAATACGTTCAAGGATTCCAAGCATGAACGGAGACTGTGCTATGAACAATGCAGAGATCGCATATCATGCAGGTACGTGGATCTAATTTCAGGGTAGCAGTTTTAATGACCTGTTGGGATGTCACGCCTGGTTGGCTTCCCACAGGAAATAGACAGTCAACTTTTACTGGTAGGAAATTGTCTCAAACTCATTGACTGGGGAAATTATAAGCTACTTTAACCTGAAACGAAATTCTCTTGAAAATAAACTGGATTATTAATAGACCTGTCTGTTATCCCATCACTGCTACAGCACCTGAGCCATTTGCTTCAGAGCTTCAAGAACAAAGTAGAAATGCCACTGTCTCAGGATTCCCCCCAAAAAACTGAAAACCAAATCCAATGACCTTTCACGTATTTTCCGGGACTAGCATATGACAATGTCCATGACATTTAATGCCATTTCACAGAGAAACGTTGTTTGGTGTTATGAACTTGAAGACTGCCCTAGCCTCTACTGCAGATGGACAAAGATGTAGCCTGTGAATTTATCCTTCTTCTGTTTTTTTATCACATCAAATGTGACCATGTGACTATTCTGCCTTTGACAGCATCATTTCAGGAAATTCGATTTTTTTCCCCCAATTTTCTGTGACTTTTTACGACAATTGCTTTTCCAGGATTTTTATAATAAAATTTTTTTCCATTACCCTGGGAACCGTGCTCAATCAGCTAATCTTGTTGAAAGTGTTACTCAGATGGTTGCATGCATATGTGAGTCGAGGGCTACTTGCTGGCTCACCTGACAGCCAGTTACATGCATTTTGCTCATTCAGTCTTGTTGCTTTAACTATAAACTGGCATATGGGGAATACAATATACATGAAGAACACTGTGTCAGAATAAAAGTTTTTGTTGATTAATTAAATTGTTAAAGGTGTATATGTAGCTGAGTCAATAATCAAACACCAGCTTCCAGAAGATGAAAACTGAGCTTGAGTATCAGTTTACGACATGACAGTTGCAGGTGAGTACACTCTGAAGATAATGTTAAGTCCTCATATTACAGTGAAAACAAAGACTTATCAGGGGTTAAATAGTCATGTTTTTACTGATACTGTCTCCAATGGATATTTAAGCACTGTGCACTTGCTTTTTTTCAGGAGTTGGAATGTGGCCACACCCTGCTTCCATTTACTCATGAGGATATCTCAATACTCAAACAATGAGGCCAACTTTTCAGCTCACCTCCAACAGAACAATGAGTGCACTCCATGACTTTATGTTCAAAATTTGATTCACATCTCCCTGACTCAAACAATTCTGTCCCAAGCCAAGATGATGAAAAAAGTACCACAACACCATCTGTTTGTCAGGTTAACGAATTTCATCTGAACACCAAACTTACCCAAATCCTCTGAGTCCATCGGCTCATGGTCTCTAGACCAGCTGAGCTAGTTTAACAACTGGGGCAGACCCGCCCACTGCAATGAATCGCCCTCCATCCGTGCTGTCCAAAGCTTGCACAGCCTTGCCATCCAGATCAACACGGCCAATCAACTGAGCGACAAAAACAAACAAAACAAAAATCTGAATTTTCTTTCCAATGCCGAGTTTGACATGTGGAAACTAATTTCCGGCATTTTCTGTTTCAACAGGATTTCATGACAACATGGTCAGTCACTGAACTGAAGAAGCTTCAACTTATAAGAAATGGTGTACTCAATTTATGCACTTACAAAAATTACCACTATGAGCAAACACCTGAAACACACTTACATGTATCTTCCTATATTACCTGCACTACAAATACATGTAAAGACCAAATGAGAAAAGCAGCTTGATGGCAAGGGCTTGTTGGCTGGCATGGTGTACAATACAGTAGACTGGTACAAGTAACATTTATTTTCATCAAAGTGAAGCTAGGTGACCCACTAACAAGTGCATATGTGTTTCAGATCCTTCAAATCGACAGAGTTTTGGTGGATTCTGTAGGATTGTGGACGACAGAATCAAGCCACTCTTGTTTACATGGGGCTTCATACCCAAAGAAATCTGGCACTACTGGTCAGCAGGTCAAAAGCCAGTTTTAAACCAGTTAACAAGTTACTCATTGTACTATTAAAAACCAGTAAACCAGTTAAGCAAACCAGTTAAGCCAGTTATACTAAAACAACGTAGACATTGTTCACAAGTACACAGCAGACTTTTCTTTTGACAAAATAATACCATTTGCATGCCACACAAAAGTAAAAAGAGACAAAATGTCTTTTGAAGTCTTGGGGCCTGCCCGGAAGTCTGTGTCTTTTACAGATCATATCATTAAAAAATACAAACAGTGTGCCATTGTGTACAGTGCTTCATGGGGGGGAAATGTCCTTGGGAATTAGATGGCTGAACTTTGTTCCCGGGAAAAATAATGGCACAATTTACATGTATGTTCTGTTCTTACTTGTCAACTCGTCAGGTCATGAATGTATGTAACTGAAGAACAGCAAGGAACTTTGAAGTTTTAATAAGAAATGAGACCTGATTTGTGTCCACAGAATCTTTAAAAAGTCACGTACGCACTGTCTGAGCCAGCCACTTGTTTTGGCCCTGATGTCTACGCACGGCTTCATAAATCTCCATTGTCTCCAATCTCTCTGACAGGCGCCTGGATGTTCATTCCTTTCTAAAGAGCCAATATTCTGACGGTTCAGTGCCTTACGCTGATGCCGTGGGGGGGGGAAGGCCTGCACCTTATAAAACCGTCCCTGCTGAATGCAGAATCGGCGCCTCATTAACGGCGTTATCGGCAAATAAAATTTGCAAATGAGAAATCTAATTGTGGAAATCTGACATGTGTTTTACAGGTATCATGTGGAAATTGTGTAACACTGACGCTGGGGCAGGTATGTTTTTGTAAGGACTTGGATATACGTAGTGGCCTCAAGTACTTTTTTCGTGGGCTTTCGAAATCTGCTAATACATGTACATTTGCAAGAATAAAGAAGGGTAAGTCTGTCTCTGCCACCTACAATGTAGGCGTGATGTACCAACTCATGCCTTGCCGTCACTGTGGGGTGATATACATCTATGGGACAGAAGGGGAAAGACGAGAGGACTTTCAATCCACAGTTTTCTTGGAGGGCCGCAGAGGTGCCCGAACCTTCAATTGATGTACGGTACTTGCGGCGCTGACTGAGTAGCATCTGAACATAACACCGTGGTGCACTCAAATTCACGAAGCCCTTAGGGTTTAGTAGGGATGAAATGAAGGGGTGGAAAAACATACCCACACAAACTTTTTGCTTTTCTGCTTTGTACTCAGTTCAGAAATCTACAAAACGCTGAATTTAGAAAGCCTCTACCAATGAGAGACAGCAAATAACATGTCAGTAAGACTCCTACTCAAATGCAAAATGATGACATGTACGTATTAAGGTTGTGCAAGCTTTGGTACGGTGCACTGCCGTAACCTTAAAGATGTTTGCGCCACTCAGGTTTTTGTGGTTAAGAGTCTGTAAGCCCTAATAACTCGACGTGGGTGTATTTTTTTTTCTCTCATTGAGTGAACCCTTCTCTCTCGGTGAGCTGTTTACCTGAATAAAGCACGGCAGGGCACTCTACTCCCACCGTGCTTCTCAGTGCAGCATTACTGCCGACTGATATTTCGCGATATTTACAGACATCGTACTTATGTGGCCAGGAATAATGCATTATTTGATAGCATCCAGACTAAGGTGTCCCGCGTTACGAGCCCGCCACAATGCGGCGCCTTTGTCGATTGTGTAAAGCAATACGTCCGGCTGAAAAGAATACGGCCAGGACTCGGCAAAGTTCACATTCAGAGCAAGAGAAATTGGAGACTTGAAAAATGAGCAAAGCAGCAAGTTTTATGTAAGATTTCTTTTTCTTTTCCCCTCCCCCCCTTGAGGAGAACTACTGCTATTCAAGAGGTGTCTGCACAACATGCAAATTGTATGGAATTGGATGTTTTTGTTGCTGGGATGGGTTTATTTTAAGAGGAGATACATGGATGTTTACATGAAACAAAAAGCAGCAGGTATTATGCATGTGTTGTGGTTTCGTTTCCATTATTTGCTGGTAGTTTGGGACATTTCTCTGATCATTTTCCAAAGACACATTCTGTACTAGGGATGGCTGTGCCAAGATTGGTCACTGTAATGAAAACAAGTCCAGAAAGTTTTCATTTTCTGACAGACCATTTGCTTATGCCACCAGTATGCTTGTTATTTTACCACAGCATATCGGGTAATGAAAGACTGTGAAATCGCTGTAAAAACACAACAAAGAAGAGAAAAACCTCTTTGTTGGTAATATTGTTTCATTTGGTGCTTATTTATGGTAATTTAATACTCATAGTTTGGAATATATTTGCTTAGGCCATTACAAAAATTCCCAAAAAATAATAAAATAATGTTTTCCGCTTTGCAACATATCCTACTTTGATGGCATGACCCTTTTTTTTAGATCTTAAATTGAAAATAAATAAAAGTGTCTAATTTCCACTGCAGTGAGAATGTGGTACAAAGAAGATGAACAGAATTATTTATGCACCGACTGAAACCGTTCATAAGTGTTGTTCACTTCATTTGAAATGGATGTCAGCTGGGCCCAATTTCACGGCGCTGCTTACCGCAAGTGAAAAATTGGCGCTTACCATAGCAGAAAATTCTGTGCTTAGGGCGAACGTATTTCACTGGTTAATGAGGAATTTTGGCTTGTGCACATGTGTGCATCCTGAAACTAAGGATTCTGTGCTTGAAAGGTTAGGGCCAAATATTTTTCCGCTGGCGTGGTTAGTGCAAAATGGAGATCGTAAGCGTGGAATTCTGCAGTAAGCAGCAGTTTTTAAATCAGTATCAAAAATACAGGGGAAAAAGCCTACCTATCTATTTGTACCCCGTTTTCAAATTGCTAAGCGAGGGGAAGCAGAACTATTCTGGGGAGGGGGTGGGGGCTGAGCAGAAATGTGGTTTTTGCTGTAGTATCCACAACATTAAGCCTTGGTAAGTGTGTGCCCCATTTTGAGACCATTTTTTGTCCTCTATGCACCGGGACATGTAGTTTGGAACAGGGTGAAGAGATCGTCAGTTCATATGAACCTCAAACGTCGCATATCTTAACAACCCACCTGGAGCTCTTGGTGAATTTGGCACGGAAAGAAGAGACCCTGTTACAGTTTGCAGGGCTTAATGCCAGCCCCATGCACCGGTACGTGTACACTAGGGGTGCGCTTGTACATGGGTGCCTTGTGGGTACCGGAACAATGGAAGGTACCCCACAAGGCTAGTTTTGGTCCTTGTGGGGTACTAAAGTGGTACCCCACAAGAATTTCACGAAGTAGATATTTCAAATTCAAGCGCCATTCATCGTCGCAAATTGAAGTGTTTATATAAGGGACATATGGTCAAATTTCAACCCAGGAAACTGAATTTGGTTGAAATGGCAGTGATTTGAAATTTTTTCGGGTTGTGTGGGAGTGTTGTACATGAGAAAAAAGGAAATACCCTACAAGTATGCATATGTAAGGGTGTGTGTGTGCATTTATGGATATTTTTAGAACTGGGTACCCGTTTTATATCAATACCTGGTACCCAGGCACCCTTAATATACATGTACATGTATAAAGAACATTTAACAAATGGCATCGTATGCAATCCTGACGGACCATGTGCCCGAAACAGGGCTCTTTTTCATACAAAACAGCGCACTGTTCTACACATTAGAAAGGAATCTCCCTCACCTTTTTATTAAACAAAGTGGAACCTTTGATTTGTAATGAAAATAGTTCCGCTGATCTCTGAACCGGAGTTACAATGTATGACCATGGAACCGGGTTTTTTCAGAGGCATGATGACTTTTCAGCAATTCTGCCTTTCACTATTAAAATACACATAAATCAAATACATGAAGATGGATTTTTTTCTTTTTAACAGGTTCCCGGCCTGAAAAAACGGAACCAACTTTCGGTGTCGACAGGCAGGTATCTGGGTATCCAGCACAGGCCTGGTGTGCAGATGCAAAATTTCCGAGTGCAAAGCGTGTTGAGTTCCTGTGCAGAGGAAGATTTTGGAGGATTCAGGAAGAGATCCGATTATAGCCAATTCCACGCAGACCATAGAATCGGGGCGGGGGGGCGGAATGTACGGTACTGCAGTTTTTGTTCCCTTTTTTACCACAGGAGTTGCTGCTTTAATCGGCTGGAGTGAGCCTTTACTATTTTCATAGTTTTTTTCCAAGAAATTCAATCTACGGAGACAGCCAGTGGTAAGGTTTCCCAAGGGAAGGTATGAATTTATGACACACAAGCTGTCAATGAATCCATTCAGCTCCATCAAGTTCACAAATAGATGAGGTTACATGAAATCTCAATTACCAGCATCATAAATGCATAAAATGATATTTCCCTTTTAGCTTTCAATAATGGAATTTCAAACAAAGTCCTCAACAAATTTGATGATAGAAATGCTTAGTATAATTGTCTCTATATTTTAAATTAAAATCAAAAATAGTTTTACCAGAGCAGCTACTGTTCTTTAGTTTAAAAAAAAAATAAGAAATATGTTAATGTTAACAGAGTGAACAACTGCCAACATCTTGATGTGTAATTTCCATGATAAATTGAAGAGATATGAGTAAAAGATCAAAAAATCTGCACATGCAGCTGTTACACAATATCTACAACAAATATACAAAACAGCTAAGGTTCATGTGGTATTTTCAGTGCCTATTCTAACTGCATGTTGCTGACGGTGCATTTTTTTCCTCTCTCTCTGCTGTCTGGCACAATAATGCAAATTACCAGGTGAGTCCCGGCAACGCATGAAACAATTACTTCCTAGATAAACAGATGGACAGATGTGGTGGAATGGAATGCAATGTGCTCTGTACTTTGTTGGGTTTTTTGGAACGCACCACTGGCCTGCACTTCTGTGTTGGAACAGAGGGCGCCATTCAGTCTAACTGTGATCCTGAATAAATGAAGAGGGGTGTACGGTACACTGTACTTGCATGTCAAACCTTCTTCAGTATGAGCCTTGAGCTGGACTGAGAGAGAACACGTTTTTAGCGACAGAGGCTCTTTTGGTAGGAACTTCACTTTGCTGGTTCAAAACGACTATGAGATGCATGTGCTGCGTGTGTGTTGCTACCACCAACAAAATGAACACTTCCGACCAGCATGGCTCTTTTAAACCAACGAGGGGGTGCTTCTGCTCAAAGCCGATTACACACCAGTCACTGATTTTGAGGACACTAGTGGTCGTTTTCATTCAGTGAACGACTGGCTGCAGATTTTCAGAATAATTTGTTAAGCGCAAATAAATAAGGTGTTTTTTTTTAAGGGAACTTATTAAACTGCTGTTTCCACAGAAGAAACTACTGACATCTCATCTACAAAAATAAGAATAAATATTATCTCCAATTCCACGAGCATTTGGAGGAAAAACAGTAAGAAAATGCAACTCAAACCTGATAAAATCAATCAAGAACAGAGAACCATGCCTACTTTGTTTTGCAGATCTGAACCCAAAACATGTGCTTCCACCTACACCAGTCACTAATTTAGAGGACACTAGTGGTCGTTTTCATTCAGTAAATGACTGGCCGCAGATTTTCAGAACAATTTGCAAATCACAAATAAATAAGGTGTTTTTTTTTTAGAATGGAACTTATAAAACTGCCGTTTGGGATGTGAAAAATCAATAAAATAAAGAGGGAAATACATAAATACATGTACTCAATTAGCAATGACATTTCAAAAACATATTCTTAGGTCTTGTAAGAAAACTTTAAAGCAGCTGAATATGGCTAACAATGAGACCCAAATCACTTTTCTTTCAAGGTTTCCTACTCTGACTTCTGTATACCACATCTATGTCAAGTCTGCTTTTGAGGAAATTTTGCACACCCACTACTGGAATACTAGAAGGCCAAAAATGTGAGCATGCAACAGGCGCTTGAATGAGGTCATTTGATGGCAAGGCCACTTTGATCTTGAAGGGAGCAAAATTATACAGGGCACTAACACCAGCGAGCAGGGCACCAAGGTTATCGTACATATGAATAGAAAAATCTTATGCCCTGTGGTGCAGTGTACATACCTGCCCTAGGCGAGGGTCTTACCCGAAAGAGAAATCCATTTGTTCCATTTGCTGTCTGACTTCTCCAGTTCAGTTTACGGTCTCCCCCCCCTTTAAACATTCTTTGCGCGGCGTAGTTGATGTTCCAAATGTTTGTTGCTGTTTCTGAAAGCGGGAGTAACTGAGCTTGTCGTCACAAAACTATTACCCAGAGGGACTTTGCACAAGCACGTACATGTACAGTATGTTATGACTATCGTTGTTTGCCTCATACACTAGCATCAATGCGTACCGTGTGCCACAGGTGAAAGTAATGCGAAGAGAAATTCGGTCGACTCTACACATAAAGTTTGCTGTACAGACTTCTGTGAGAGTGGGAGTGTACAAATACAGATATTTATTTTCTAAGGCTTGGGCTCTGCTGCTGGTAACCAACACCCACAATTAACAGCAGCATAGATATAGCAGGGAACCAGGAGACTAATGATGGAACACTGAAATTTCATGATAAATTATAGACACTTTCATATTTCACAACTGTGAGCTACATGCTCACATCTAAGTCTAGAATTCATGCTATTGGAAACAAGTTTTGATCACAAGCGCCAAATATATGTACAATTCTTTTTCCAAAACAACACATGAAAGAACTTAAGAACAACTTACTCGGTTGGTTGCTCTGTCGATGGCCTGGGCATTGCACGTTCCACTCCCCCCTGCCAAGACGACGTTATTGTCACAAAACTGTGCACAGTAAAGGAATTCTCCCCTCTTGTCGGTTCCTGAGAGTGGGATGGACTGCTCAAGCCTACCCGCGGCTAGGTCCCACTGCTGAAGTGCACTGCTCGCTACCCAGGATGCAGTGAGAATCTTCCCAGCCTGGAAAAGAGACCAGCAAGTTGAAGATGTCATCAGGAGTAGACAATTGATGATATCCCACATAACGTAAGCTTTACCGTGTGACGAATCTTCAAGCTGTCATACAGTACATGTATGCGGGTCATTCCATGAGGTTGGGGCACAATATGTGACGGTGTCCTTGTTACATGAGTTCCATAAAAATGAACAGCTATTTCCCTCTGTGTGGATTCCAAATTGGCATAGTTATACATCTTGCAAGGCTGAATCCAGAGTGCATGTTATTTATAGAGAGTAAATGACCTACTCTACAGGTCATGACAGGAGGTAAAAGTTACCCATGTAACAAGGACACCCTCACAAATTGTGCCCCCACCTCATGGAATGACCCGTGAATAAATGACAAAACTTTAACATGTTTTACAAGGAACCTCTCAAAATCCTTCTGAATGTGCAAGAAATCAAGAAATGGTACATTTTATTACTGAAGCTCTGAAGGGTTCTCAAGAACCGATGTAGGGTACACGTAAGTAACAGTGGCCAGGCTCAACCTTCCTCAATCCCGCAAAGTCCTCTTAAAAACCTCCTGACAGATTTCCCCAAACTGTGCAGGTTACAGCTTATCACCAGATTGATACACCTGCTTGCGCATGTCTGAAGGGACAGTTCAAATCTAGAAGGCCTGCGCCTCTTGTGGGATCCCTGGAGTTGCTATATACACCTCGAATAGGCTTTGGAACCCATGAGGAAGGTGGGCGAATAGGCTGGCAAGCGTGGTGTGATCGGTTGTTTTGGCCATTGTTGGATTCAGGGCTTTAGTCGAGCCCATCAAAAAACCTGTCACAAGTGACAGGATGGACAATGACTAAGAATATTTCTGTCACAATTCATTGGGATGGTTTGTGACTTGGCTTACAACTGGATGGCTCGTGGTGGGCTTTGGCTTGGCTACAGCCCTACTAGCTTTGCAAATTGACGTAGTCCTTTGGTCAATCATACGTGTCCTTCTGGTTTCACACTGATGCATGCTGATTTACATCCAACCCTTGAGATGTAACCTTCAGAGGCCACTCATGCTACACCTGCTCTTAGCCTGGTTGGTTTTTGTCAAGACTTACAGGGCAAGTTTAGGCACCAACTATAGTTTGACCACTTATCCAGAACTTTAAAACAGTGCTCACATGCAATATAGTCACACTCAAATGACCCAAGTCAAACCGCCGGGTAAAATCTCAATGTCACTTATCGTTGCCATAACTGCTACTCTCGCAACGTTCATGGTCAATGACATCTAGTTCAACGTTTTTAATGTAAATGGTTCCCTCCGTACTGATAAATGAAATCAGCTATTGATTACCAGTGGTGCAGCCGTGCCCATAGCTTGGTTCCAAATGGTCGATGTGATGGTCCAACCATCTATCATTCGAGAGACATTGGTTGAACTGTGGTTAACGATAGTTGTCCATCCAACTTGCCCATAGGTAGGTCTTTGACAAACTAATCCAATGGTGAAGAGACGCAGCAGTTTAAATGTGGCCAATATCAATACAGTCAACGAATGAACGGTATTCCAGCCACATGATGGTACAACGAATGTATTAGGATGTTATCAACAGCAACACACCAGGTAGTATCGATTTGCAACTCTGGCCAATCTAAGACAGCATACCTTGATGTCAATGCCATTTCCGCATACATGAGGACCGCCGATAGTTCCCTGAACACCATGACTCGTTCGCTTGTCCCAAATCTATCAAAGACAGAGATCACAAAATGACAAATGTTGGCAACCAATTGCAGCAGTCTTCGACAGTTCTGCCAGTCGATATTTTTTTCTTTAATTCAACCGCCAACTCTTCAAAAAAATTATTAAAGAACTTATACAGATAAACTTTCCTCTCCAAAACAATCTGCTCCAGGTAATTGGTCACCTCCTGAGTATCAAATGATTGAATCCTTTCCCTTCAATGAAGCTATCTAACTTGATGGAGAATCACACAGTCAACATCTGATGAAAAAACAGAAAACATCTGCCGAGCAGATGACTGCTGCACAAAAACCTTGTCGACACTTCCTTACCTTGAGACAGTTATCCCATCCTCCGGTGACAAAGATGTTGTTGTCATCCGGGTGGAACTTGAGAGCAAAAATCCTCCTGCCGTGGCCCAAGTCGTTCTCATCTTCGCTCTCTAGACGCAGCTGGTTGGAGCCCTCGTACATCAGCAGCAACTAGAGACAGGAACACCGAACATGTTTCATACAAACGTATACTGCACAAACCAAACTCTATGAGTCACCTTGGGACCCAAGCCAACATTCCCGCGATCCGCATGCAGTGCAAGAGTGGAACCTTCTTCCAACCACACAAAAAACCACCACTGTTGATATCTTCACATTGGACCAGGTCAAAAAACATGGGAACTTCATAAACTATGCTCACCCTCTCGATTAAACTCCACGAGGCCAGCACCATGCCTGCATCTTCATAACCCTCCAGGGGTTGGAAGAAGCAAAACTCATTGGGGTTATTCATGTTGGGTCAACTCAATCCTTTACTAAGGTACGACCAGGAGAAAGTGTGTATGGTTCCACCTTACCCCACAACATCTGTGTCCTTCTCCCCTCACCCACTCAAAAATTGAAGGGCTCTGTGCAGGTCACTAGCAAGACCAAAGGTCGTATAGCATTGCATTGTAGCACAAGATGAAGAACTTCAACATGAATACACGTAAAACGTTGTAATCGCATGGGTGCCATTTCAGCAAGCGATACGCCTGCGCAATACACATTAATGCAAAGGTGGAAGTGCCGCGGCAAGCACATACACCTGGTGCACCTGCGCCTGTGCATTACCGTGAACCGCGCAGGCGTATCACTGGCTCAAATGGCGCCCATGATGATTACACCTTTTGGGCCGAGTTATCCATCTTGCCCCTTTGGCGCTATACGATCTTTGATCAAGACCAAACCCAGGTGTCCCCTCAGAAAGTTGACTACCAGAGAGTCACCGCCCTCAATCCATAGTCCCCGAGTTATACCATCGATCCTCGGAATGAATGCTCACAATAAGAGGTTGTCCACAGGTCACACTGCGTGTTACAGCATTTTAACCCTCCTATGCTGAAGTCACTCTTTGGGTCATTTGGTAAACACCTCAAAGAAGCACAGCTGTATTGTGTTGTGCACTGCACCAACTGTCCCTCACAGGAATATCAGATTGCACTTTTGTGCTGCCCAAGAACTGTGCTTCACTGTTTCCTGTGCATAATTGTGCAGTAAACCAATGCAGAGAAGAGGACTGCACAAAAGACCCTGGGTCATTTTGTGCTGACAACCTACTGTGTACACACTGAACCTGTGCATGTTTGGGCTCCATATAGAAAATACATGCTCACAAGTGACTGTGGGCATTTGCGCACATTTGTGCTGTGAAACCGTAGGAGGGTTCATGTGTCGTTCTGAGATTCAGAAGCAGCTCGATTTTATACCTCATTTGTTTGGGCATCATACAGCCTGACGCAGAGATCCTTGCCTGCGGTGGCATACACATCCCCATCCAGACTGAAATCAATCGCGTTGATCTCGTTGTTCTTTTCTTCAAGAAAGACAAACAATGCAACATTTGTTAAAAAAAGATCTGTCCTTCCTGAATATCCATTTCCCATCTGTGAACCACTTGGAACTTGACGACTGATACTGGAGTGGTCATACCAACAAACTGTCATGTTGACCACACCAATTAACAAAAAGTCTAACACTTTTTCCAAAGGAAAGCTTTTTGAGAGTATCCTTAGGGTTTGACATGACTACTACACCAGATACAGTGATTTCAGTTTTGGCCATGTACATGTAATATCCGAGACGAGTCATTGGCCTCCTGAGTTCTCTGTACAGGTTAATGCTTTAAAATCTAATACATTCAATATCTCTCATTCAATAATTATTAATTATGCATTTGAATGATTATCCAAATAATTTTATGCATTGACTATAAAACAATGTTCTCGGAAAAATACTTTGGTGGAGTCTCTAAAGGCGTTGGCACTGAGAATAACTGGTTTATCTCCTCAAACTGACATCAAATGAATCGAAATCAAGTGGGGGGGTACAGACGTACATAGATTTATAAGTGAAAATATTACTCAAGGTCTAATGCGAGTGAAAAAAGAAACAGTATCCATTTCCTGTTCAGCTTACCTTTATTAAACATTTTCTTCTTTGCTTCTTCTGTATCCCAAACATTAATGTTACCGTCGGCACCTACCGACACCAGCTCGTTTTTATGCTCAGGATGGAAACTGAGCCCCATGACTGGTAGCTCCATGCGACCTCCTTTGTGCAAGGTCTTCACCAGCTCTCCCGTCTGAGTGCTGTACAGCTTGTCCATTCAAAAGAAACAAGAATAGACAAATAAGGAGTGGATGGTTAGGATCTTGCTTCATTAGTAGCGCATCCAGGAGGGGGGGGCATGCTATTTTAAGGCTGCCCCCTTTTCTAAATGCTAGGCACCCCAACTTCCTAAATGCTAAAATCTGCCTCTGCTAATGGTGAGTCGAGCACCTTCTTGCAGAGCACCAATGTGTTCATACATGTAGGTGTGAAATCGCTTACTGGTCATGCAAAAGTCATGAACACTTGACTGTTTCTCCATCCAAGAGAACTTGAGACCCAATGGGTCTAGTGCTTAAAACTGATGGATTTGACAATGGACATGATGGATGCAGGATTGTAGAGTAGGTTTGGCTGACTGGTCCCTTACAGCGCTGAGACCATAGTTTCATCTAGGATCAACTCTGACCGCCTAGGCCCTTTTGGCTAGGATAAATCCTCAATCCTTCAAAATCCTCCAACTCCCGCCATGAAAAAATTGGATACAGCCTCAGTCCTCCAAAATCCTCTGATATTTCTTGAACATGTTCTGTGGAAGAGTGGCCTCTGCCTCAATTCTTCAAAATCCTCCGGTAATTCCTCTCTTTATGTTGAGACAGTGTAAATGGTATCCTGGAGCAGTATGGAGGATTTCACATGTAATGTGGGCCTGAATTTATGCACGACTGAACATAAACAACACAAGGTCTAACCCTCAACCTTGAGGCAATGCATCCTTCGCAATCAGTAATGCAATTTTGCCATGTACTGTAGCCTTAATCCTCCAAAACTGCCTGGAGGATTTTGAAGGATTGAGGATGGTTAGGGTTAACTAAAATATCTGCCTCTCCCTTCACAGTCAAGGTTAAAAACTACATGTACCTGTGCCCTCCCAGGAACATGTTTTAAAACGGACACCCCTTGGTGCCACCTGAGACCCGATTTCCACTGCACCAAGTATTTGGGAAGAAAATGTGAACAACTATGCTCACCAGTGATTTATTAAATATTCATGTTAACAAAAGGGGGTGTCAACTTTGAACAAGCATGAATTGCCTGTCCAAAATGATTATTTTTTTGGTCAGTCCTCGGGACAGATGGTTGAGACAACACTGAGCTGTGGATTTTTGACAAAAGCAAGCTAAAAACTGAGAAAACACAGATCATTTCAAATGATAATTCAAGCAGACTGGACTTGACCTGCTTTGCTGATATCCACACTGGAGTACTTGGGTGATGTTTGCAAGTTAACGCGAATGACTACAAATACGGTATTTCATGGGCAGAGGCTAAATAGGTCAGAGATGACTAAAATGTTGCATTATTTTATACCAGGACTCCTCCATTTCCGCAGCCAACTGCCAGCAGCTCGCCGTCGTGAGAGAACTGCAGGCTGTACACACCAGCGAAGTAGTCTGTGATGTCAACGTCGTGTAACGATATCAGCTTGGTGAAGGTTCCTTGCGATTTGGACTGCTCGCTATCAATGGCACGGCCAGCACGGATGGCTGCTTCAAGACGGCGACGAGCCATGATCGGTTACACTGCAAGGAAGGAGTAAGCATAGAGTCCACTGATATTGACATTACTCGATTATTCCATGTTCCTAATAATGACATCACAGATGTCAACTTTTTAAGATAAAAAATTATTGAAAATTTCAATACTGGAAATGATGTTGGAAATATCAGAAAGATGTAAAATCATCAACAAAATAAATTTGTTGATACAGGAATTTTAACCTGGTTGTGAAATGTGCTAAAAATGAAGTACAAGTCAGAAGCACGGGGAATTGGCAAAACGCTGATGCCAAAACGGTGATGCCAGAGTAATTCCAGAGTACCTGCCACTTAAAACAATGTGTGTCTATGGAGCTGTTGAGGGAGCATTCCATGTAATCTTCATGACAATGAACAAAGCCCGCCAGAGAACTCTATACACAGCTGCAAGAATGCACAACATATACCACATGGAAGTTACTGGGAGAAATATTCAAGGGGTTTGTGTCTTTGTGGGCCTTGTTCCTATCATAGTTCAAACCTTTTGGATTCTGCAGAGTAACTAAAAAGGGTTCCATATGCGGATGCCACATGACATGCCGCACAAACCCTATGAGACTGGTCTGAAAAATTCTTAGTAAACGACTTGGTATTTTCCTTCCTAAATTGGACTTTTCTGGACATGTTTTTGCTTTCTTATAGCTACATGTAGCTATTGTGTCACTGTAGGGAAGAATTACGTTGTACTGGCGTCCGCATGTGAAACTTCCTAAGTAAATAATGATGGCTTTATTTTTGTGCAAAGAGTGTCAACAAAACATGTACAAGCACACCCACTGAAAATGAACAGCGTGACAGAGTCCAAGCCGGTTTGGTAAGATTATTGCTTATTGATTGGTTCCATCAGAAAGCCAATCTCTGATTGGTTGAAATAAGCAAAAGAAGCAACCTAATCCCCCTACTCATGTTGAGCAATAAGCCAAGCTTGAAATAGCAAACTGCACACACAAAAGGTTAAGAAGGGAACGGGAACCATTCTAGCTGCTAATAAAGTAACCATCACTGGGACGAGGTTGAGAAGCGTTACTGTACTATCGACCATGGTGCATGTTATTTGTGTGACCAGTCCATAAAACAAAGTAGTATTTTTGCCGAAATTAATGCTCTAAATTTAAAGAAATAGGGCACGTACTGTTAGGACTAGCATAATTAAGAGAACATTGCCCAAGGTTGCACACCTTTGGGAACCGACCTTTTTTGTAAGAATGATAGAAACAGGGGGGTCTCGTAAAAAATAAAATCCCCGCATTCAGAGTCCCAACAGACTACCTCGTTACCAGCTACATGTAGATGACAAATGGGGAAACAGCAAATGAGTGAAGTGGTAAATGGGCAAAGTGGCAATAAGCCTTATCGCTAATACTGCAAGAGTGATTTTGCACAATACATGTGGTATGAAGGCATCATCCTTCCCACAACGCCAGACTTTCCACAGTTGTACAAAATCTGCCATGCGATATAGCAATAAGGCTTATGGACGTGATGGACATTGTTACGCCTCAACTATAGCATCTGTCCAACTATAGCTGGGACAGTCCCAATTGTAGTGCTGCAGTTGGGATGGCCCAACTATTGTTGACCAATTTCTGTAGAAAATTTCTCAACCTTATCCAAGTTTATGTACCTCACACTTGACATAATTCTAAAATATGGCACTTCATCTATGACACGACATTGTAAACAATATGATTGGCACATGTTGGGCACATGCACACTGGACCTCTTGACTATAGTTGGGCTGGCCCAAAGTCTTAGGTAGGGACAAAAACCAGAATGTGAGTGGCCACTTAAAATTAAAGCTGAAACAGCAGCAAAAGCTGAAATGTAAAAGGTTTCCATATGTCTGTACAGACCAGGTGGACAAAAAAGCTGAAATTTAGGGTCAACAACATGTAAACAAAAAAGCTGAATTCTCACACCCCTGCATGAATAAATGAGCAAGGACGCTGTATATTTGGACACTCATTTTCTTAAAAAGGAAACTGATTGAAATTTGTTTTTATTGGCACGCTGTAGCTCCTCTATTTCAAAATTTTTGAAACTTGAAGTACAAACCAGCATTTGATTAATTGAAATAAGGCACAAATAAGAACAAAGATTTAAGAAAAACATAGACTTTAAGCTGTTTAGTTGAAATCCAAACTCATTTTTGGGTACAAAATACATGTAATCACAGTTTGCTCTGCATTACATGTATACAAAAAAATCTCAGAACATCCCTGCTTCAAATGAATTTTTCTTTGCTTTGCAGAGTCCATGGAATTCAAATTTATTGTAGCCACTCCGGCCCGCTAAGTTGCCAATCTTAGATGAGCAAATCATCAGGCTTTTACCCTGAGATGGGTCCTGACATGTGGGCGCTGGGGCTGTTATTATCGAGTCGGTTGACGAGCACAAATTCAGGGGAATTCTCATAAGAGAAAACAGGACTGTCATTAAATCTTGACTTTAGACTGAATGGGTTCCTCTCAACCAGGAAATAACACTTTCTGTGTGATTTAATGCCACTATCTCTCAGAAATCTTGAACATCAGTGAAACAGCGCCATCCTTTATAGATAGTTAATAGTACAGTCGCATCAGTCTCTTCCAGTGTGTCATGAGCAACAACGGTAGCATATAATTAATGCAAAGTGTAGTGAGGATGGCCATTTGGCTGTACTTTCAATCAACAATTAAGAGTAAGATGTGATTCATGTACAAATGTAATAATAATGCTCTGCCCTGGAAAATTAATGTATGTGTGAATACATGGCCGCTCCTGTCCTGGGACAAGCAGCCGAACGTGCTGTCTGGTTATATTGCTGTTCCAGCTGTGCATTCACATCTAGCCTAATTCTGGATTATGTGAACAATGATCCAGATTCCCATCATATTGGCCCTTGTTCTTGAACTTGCTTCCACAGCGTCCACCCAGGAACTTCGCCGAACAGCTGTAAATCAACTGTACACAATCTCAGTGTGTACGTTTGAGAAACCACCTATTTATGCACTCCAAGTTCAACGACATCTGATAGGCTAAATCTACAATAAGTCTCCAGTAGCCTCAACTCATCAATACGCATGACTGCAATACCTTAGTACAGTACAGCATGTACGGTCACCGTCGACTGCAACAATAAAGTGGTAAATTCATCATGATAAAGAGTGTTGTATATGAAGAAATCGTGGAAGATCAGAGCCTAGACATGTGATACTTTGGCACAAGTCTCCAGATAAACTTAAGCATACATGACAATCAACTATAGGGTTGGTTACCTCAACGCCGTCCCCTTCAAAGTCTGCCAATATTAAACATCCTGGCGATTTTCACTACAATCAAAATTATTTCCCACGACATCCTGTTCAAGATAACATTAAGAATAAAACATAAAAATAGTTTAAAAATTTATTAGCCTCCCTATCATATCAGTAGGCGAAGTGAAAAATCGGCGGAAAAAATGAGGCAGGATAAAACCAGCTCATGTGATGGAATTTGGTTACCATGTATTTGATGAGCGTTGTCGAGTAGTTGACAATCACTCCCCAGTGCAATGCAATATGTGTTACCCCAGAACTGTGGGGGGTGCGACAGGGGTATGCATGTGTGGCAATATGGGCTATGCGGCTGGCGGCTGCCAATGATTGTCGAGGTTTCCTCAGGTAGGCCTAACCATGGAGCTCTATGGCCTAACCATAGAGGAATAAAACCCCTCCATCACGTTTAAGCCTACTGATGTTAAGCCTAAAAATTGGCCTGACATATACTCAGCTTCTAAAGGGTTCTGTATTACATTCCAATACAACCTTGTTTGACAGTACTAACAATGTTATATTCAATTTTTGTCTGATTTCCCCGAAAAGAAATCGGTCGGTTCACACTTACCGCGTAGACGTCCTCGTAAACAAAACATGCCCTCACAAATGAGTTGCATGAGAAAACAACAGAGGTCGCTCTTGCAATTTTTCAGCCGGCTGAATAGGTTGCAGGCCGGTAAGTAAACTGCCCGGCCAACAGCGATAAAATTCGAACTTCAAAAAATCAGGAAAAAGACTCATGAGTTTCCCAATCGTTCGAGACGCACATCAAATTAAAGCCCACTTTATGATTTTTCATTTTATTTTCAAATATCCATTCACTATCCGATGATTTTTGAAGATATTATCTTGTCCCTAATGTTTTAATTTCTTTTCACTCTTTTGTGAGTTAACCAATTATAATTTTAATTATTCACACAAAACAAAACTACCCTCGAAAACTCCCATTACTATTACTATTGTTATCCATATTATACCCAGTAAGAATGTTCTATGAGGTAGGCCTACTGCAGCTGCCCATTATCTTGGAATACGGAAGCCGGATAGTGCCAAGGGATGTATGAAAAGTCTTTTTGAATATAGCGCTTGAACACTTTTTGGCAACATTATCCGGCGGCCGCCACATAATTCTCGCCCCAGGCCTTTATTTCCAGGTTTCCGGTTTCCTTATGGCTTCGTTATGGCTCCTTCATCGTCATGTGCATGAAAGTGTGCATTGAAGCATGCTTTGCGGCTGGCCGGGTGTAAACCCCTAAAACCAAAGACAGCAAGAGTATTAGCAAGGCTTGTTTTAGTTGATGGGTCTTGTGCTGATAATGAGTACGCAACACCAATGATGCCATCGGGCCATCTGCTACACCCCCATCCCTGTACCTTGAAACTCCCCGGGTATTTCCACCCAGTAATATTGCCAACGTGTAACACGAAGAAGTGGATTCACACTCCTCAAATCCGGGACTTATTCCGAATTTCAGTCTTTTTAAAAATGCTTTATCGTGCTAACGTCCCCCAAACCAGGGGACATGACAACATGATTATCACATAACATATTTGTAAGGGTTTATTCTGCTAAAAGAACCCAAACTTCTACATTATATTTAAAAGTAAAGTCAACCTTTTTTTAAATATTACACCTGCATAGTCATAGTTCTGTTTACTTCATCTTCTGCCGATTTTCCATCCTTATTGCCATACTTGAATTTACCTTTAAATATTCTATTTCTGCAAGGTTAAATACACTGTATAACTTGTTTTTAAATGTCTTATTTTATTTCGTGTGTTGTTGTGCATAACCTGACTTATACTTGCTTTTTCTTTTAAGGTTTTCCCCCCTCTTCTTCGGACTTGATTTTCTCATCTGTACGCTTTTATATCCTTTTTTAAAATTTACCACGAAGAGGGAGAGAGAAGATAAAAGCTGCAAGTTAATCACATTATTTCACGGAGAAACTTGCTCCGGGGATCCGATGGCTGCAGGTGAATGCTCGGTAGACAGGGTATATGCATACAGAAATGGCTGTAAGTGGTTGGTGCTTCGATCAAAGCTTATACAATGTACTTTCACGGCCACCTGCCTCCTGGTACAATAAAAATGGTAGGTCTACCTTAAAGTACCGGACTGCTCTTGCTCCAACGTCACGAGTGACCCTGAGCAAAACTCTCTTTTTTGAATACCAGCATTTATTTGTTTTCTGTTTGAGTAGATAAAGATGACGGAAACAATTGTTCACTCGTAGAAGAGACCGACCTTCGCAAACTGAATTGTCCAGTGTGGTCATTCAGTGGGTTGGGTTATCATATGCCGCGTCATTTTACATGTAATGATGATTATACGGAGCTGTCAGGACTATAACGTAAACAAGTTTATGAACACAGAAATACATGTACAATAGTACACGAGTTCATTCTGTTCGCTGGAAATCATTTCGCACTGATAAAATCATTCTGTGCATTCAAATACGATATTTCGTGCACTAGAAATGATTTCAAGGGCATGAAATGACACCAAAATAAGTCTTTTTTTCAAATACGTTTTAATCAGTACACGAAATATTTCGAGATTACGATACGATGCTTCCTTAGAGACTACGTATAGTGAAGTTAAAATGAGCTAATGCATGAAGATAACCGGGGAAACTTGCGTTTTGTTCCATGCTTGTTAGACCTGCTTGTAGTTTTTCCTGATTTTTGCCTGTAAATTATTGTTTAGAATCTATAATTTTGAAACTTGTGCGACACTTGGAACAGCGAGTCTTTTCTTTCGTGGCCAATTCAACATGGGCTGCACCACTGAGAATCTGTTGTCTAGGGCTACGTCTAGGTCTTCGCTCCTTTGGAAATGTGTGGAGATGCGTGGACAACAGACCTAGGCATAGCTCTAGCTGGAAGCCCGTTTTTGACACGGCCATGGCTGTGTATTTTTATAGAAAACACACGCACACAAAAAGCCGGGTCCACGTGATATGGCGCTGTGGCAGTGCGTGCGCAGGTCAACATGACAACAGCTATATACGTATACCCGGCACGGTACTATACTAGCCTTTCCCGTACCCGTACCCGTGAACAGTGTCGGAGTGTGGCGGTGGTGACTCGTGTCGTGACCTCTACGGGTCGAGTAAATGCTTGCAGAGAGGACAGAAGGGGACGGCGGACTCTATAGGCATAGGACAGAAAACATGACCACTGAAGACATGAATTGTCTCAGGGAAGAGCAGCATTTGCTCCAAGACGACTTTACTCTATTCCCGGGCAAAAACACGGCCGTGCATGTGACTCTATGGAGCGATCGGGTGGTGGTGCAGCATGCTGCGACAAATGGGAACACAAACGGTCGCAAGGTAGACACGGTGTACCTGGCTGATGTCGTCGGCTGCAAGTGTGGTCGTGGAAGGAATTACAGTGAATCCACTACGGCCAGCAGGCTTTCCCTGACCAGTCTGACAACCAGAAACTCCTCGAAGGACATGGCTGCCGCTTTTCTATGCCTGCATTCTTACCCTTACAATAAACCGGCTGCCAGTGGTGGTTTCCGGAAGAAACGGGACATCATTTTCCGGGTGAACAAATCCGATAGTCACGAACAGAATTTTGAAATTGCTCAAAAATGGAGGCTGGCCATTATGCTCATTTTAAGAGGAGTCACTGTCGCAAACGAAGAAGGTAAGGCTTTCAGCAAAAACTTT